CCTGCCTCACCACAAGTGTGTGCGCTCGTCGCCACCTCACCGCACAGGCAGCAAGGCGGCAGCTTGCTCGCTTGGAGATGGTTTTGGACATGCTCAGAGATGGTTTTGGAGTTGCTGGGAGATCTCCAAGCGATCAAGCCACCACCTCACACGTGCCTGCCACTGCCTCACCAGCCCGCCCCCACGGGCACCCCCGCCTCACCGGCCCATGCCCTTAGCCACCACCTTTCAACTGGCCCTCTGTTGAAAAAGTTTGAGTACCCCTTCTTTGGAATTGGAATGTAAACTGAGCTTTTCCAATCCTGTGACCACTGTTGAGTTTTCTGGCATATTGAATGTAGCACTTTTCCTGCATTGTCTTATTATTATCTTATTATCATTATTAAAATGCTGTATTGTATTTAAGATTTTAGTAAGTATGAAAATGTTTCTTAAACATTTTATATGCATAAAAAGTGTGTGTGTGTGTGTGTGTGTGTGTGTAAAATTTGGCTTGTTCATGTCATCTCATATACATACAAATTCAACTTAAGGACATTCTCAGAAGCCGAACCCATCCATAACCTTGGAACTACCTGTACTAAAACTAGTGAAAGGCCTCTCAACCAGTATCTGAGAAACTGTATCACAACAATAATCTTGCTTGCATGGGACTCTTTATTATTGGCTGGAGAAATGGGACTATGCATAGATTTGAATATGGTTATGGACTGTTAAAAAAAAAAGAGTAGGGGGCTGACCCAGTATGTCTGATGTCTTTGATGATTGATGTTTTAGTCTTTGTAGAAAAAAATAAAAACTTATTAAAAAAATAATCTTGCTTGCAGAAGGCAGACGTGGCCACATCTGTTCACTGTCTAGAAGGATAGGGAACCTTTTTGAAGCCATGGGCAGAATACCATTCTGGGAAAGAAAGTTGGACATTCCATATGTAGGCAGGTCTAAAAGGCAGAAGGATGAAATCACACGGAAAATGTGATTCTCATGGATTTGAAGTATACTTGCAAGTAAACAGATTAAGCTTCTGTAGTACCCAGAGTTAAGCAAGTCTGAATCATTCAATTAAGTGTGTGTGCGTGTGTGTGTGGTGTGTCATTTTAACTTCCATTTAATTTTATCCTTTGTTAATTACCCAGAAAGCTTTGACTATTAAGCAGTATAGAAATGAAATAAATATTCAGGACTTTCAGATAGAATATTAGGCTTCTGCATGTCTACTCTGAAGCATTAGCCAATGCCTACACAAAAGCAAGCAAGACAAACCAAGTAGCAGGTCTGAATCACTTAGATTCCTCTCCATGCCCACAGTCCCCCTTCACAGCTTTGCAGGGAAATGCTGCTAATCAGAGATAAGAACGGTTCCACCACTGAGTACTGAATAAGGAAGTATCTTCTCTGCCCAGCAAAGCAAAGCATGGGGAAAGTGTTCCAGCTGCTTAAAATAATGTGAACACACTGGGGAAAGGACAAACCAAAGACAGATTTATAAACAGGAGGTTCCACCAGAAAAGGCTTTATAAATGAGAGAGCCCAACAAAGTAGATTAGGTCCATGGGCCAGGGATCCTCTACCTCTGCTCTACTAAATCTCAGACTGGGTAACTGTATACTGACCTGGTGGGGATCACAGAAACTTGGTGGGATGAAAGACAAGACTGGAATGTAAACATAGAGGGGTATCACCTTTTTAGAAAGGACAGGAAGGGAAAGGGGAGGGGGCACAGCTTTATATGTCAGGGAAGGGATAGGATGCAGTGAGATAGAATGCAGCACAGATGGGGATTCGGTAGAGGCAGTCTGGGTGAAACTTAGGGGTTTTGACAGGGAAAGAGACCTGACTGTGTGGGTATGTTATCGCCCTCCAGGTCAACTTGAGACCCTGGATGATGTCCTGACAGGCCAGATTCTAAGGATATCTCGGGGGAGGGACACAGTAATTATGGGAGATTTCAATCTCCCGGATATTAGTTGGGAGACTCACTCAGTGGTAACAGCCAGGTCACGTCGCTTCCTAGAAGCTATGGCGGGGGGGTTCACACAGAGAGTCTGAGAAGCAACGGGGGTGGGGGGAAACATCCTTGACTTGGTCTTGACCCACAGGGAGGAGCTGATAGATGAGGCACAGATTAGGGAAGCTCTGGATGCGAGTCATCACTCCATCCTTTGCTTTGAGATCAGGGGACTAGGAATGTGCAGCAGGTCGAGCACTAGAAGCTGGGACTTCAACAGGGCCAACTTTGGCCAACTGAAGGCCAGACTGGGGAACGTCTCCTGGGATAGGTTACTGGAAGGCAAGTGAGTTGAGGAGGGGTGGATGGCACTCAAAAGGGAGGTTTTGGAGGTGCAAGTCTTGACAATACCTCTAGTTAGTAAGGCGGAGAGGTGAAGGAGAGTGCTGCCATGGATGTGAACGGAGGTGCTTAGAGGGATTAGATGCAAGAGGAACCTCTGTAGGAAATGTGCACTGGGGCAAATAGACAAAAGGGTATACCGGAGGGAGCAGGCCCGTTTGCAGAAGGATTCTTCGCAAGGCTAATGCTGATTACGAGCAGAGACTTGCCAAGAATATCAAGAGCAACAAAAAGGGCTTCTTTCAGCATGTAAATAGCAAGAGGAAGGGGAGATAAGTAGTGGGACCACTAAATAAGGAGGAAGGAGATCCAGTGACTGATGCGAGGGAACAGGCACAGATGCTAAATGACTATTTTGCCTCTGTGTTCTCCCCAAGGCAGGACGGGGGAGATCCACATAGGAGATTAGATGAGGCCAGGGACTTGATGTTGAGGGGCTCCTCAGGGCATTGGACATTGCAAAGGAGCCAGGTCCTGATGGGTTACACCCAAGAGTACTTAGAAAGTTGGCAGGGGTTCTCTCACACCCACTGGCCTCCATTTTTGAGGCCTCGTGGAGAACGGGTAAAGTTCCAGAAGACTGGAGGGTGGCGTCAGTGGTCCCAATTTTCAAAAAAGGTAGAAGGGACATGGGGAATTACGGACCTGTTAGCCTTATGTCCATTGTAGGAAAAATAATGGAAAGGGTCATAATAGAGATCTACTGATGCTAGATAGGGAAGGGAGGCTGGCAGCCACACAACACGGCTTCCACAAAAACAGGTCCTGCCAGCCAAACCTTGTGGAATTCTATGATAAGGTTTCGAGATGGCTAGATGGAGGGGATGCAGTGGATGTGGTATACCTGGATTTCAGCTAGGCCTTTGACAAAGTGCCCCATGATGTCCTGGTTGAGAAACTGAGGAGTTTTGAGATACACCAAAGCACTGTCCATTGGATTAGGGCATGATTGAATGATCAAAAGCAGAGGGTAACCATTAGTGGGGAATCATCAGGATGGCGGCCAGTGACAAGCGGGGTCCCCTAGGGCTCTGTCTGTTAATCCTGTTTAATCTTTTCATTAACGACATGGAAGAAGGGGTGAACAGTCTGCTCATCAAATTCACAGATGACACTAAAACTGGGGCAGTGGCCACAACAGAGGAACAGGTACTCCAGATCCAAAAGGATCTGGACAGACTATGGAAGTGGACAGGAGACAACAGGATGGCGTTCAATGTGGATAAGTGCAAGGTCTTGCACTTGGGTCATAGGAATCAGTGTCGTAAGTACAGGTTAGGTGACAAGTGTCTGGAGAGCAGCACTTGTGAAAGAGACCTTGAGGTACTGGTTGACTGCAGGCTAAACATGATTCAGCAGTGTGATGCAGTGGTTAAGAGGGCAAATGCCACCTTTGGTTGCATAGGCAGAAGTGTGGCTTCGAGATCGTGAGAGAAGTATATTACCACTCTATATGACTCTGCTGCACCCGCAACTGGAGTACTGTGCTCAGTTTTGGGCCCCTCATTACAGAAAGGATATAGTCAGGTTCGAGTCAGTGCAGCGTAGGGCCACATGCTTGGTGGCTGGTTTGCAGGGGATGCCTTATGAGGCGAGACTGAGGGAACTGGGTCTCTTCAGCCTGGAGGAGACTCAGAAGGGATCTGTTGGCGACATACAGGTATGTGAGGGGGTGTCACACAGAGGTGGGTAGAGACCTGTTCTCCCCTGCAGAGGAAGGTAGGACACGCTCCAACAGAGCAAGGCTCAAGGCACCAAGGTTCCATTTAGATGCCAGGAAGCACTTCCTGACAGTTAGGACCCCGAGGGTATGGAATGGGCTTTCAGAGAATGTGGTTGAGGCCCCTTTGGTGAGGGTGTTCAAGGATAGGCTGGATATGCCCATGGTGGGCATGTCGTAATTGGAGTCGGCTGGAGCCAAGGGTCAGCCTAGATGGCCTGGTAGACCCCTTCTGACTCTCTCTGTTTCTATGTTTCTCTATTTCTCTATTTGGCATATGCTAAAAAGAAAAGCAGAACCTAGGCCAGGTAGCATCTTACACTAGTCTTGTTATGAATAATGGAGAATTCTTTCATTGGGGAATTCCCAGTGATCCAAACAATCTGAAAAAAAGAGAACAGCCACCCAACAGAACTCAGGAACCTGAGCAAATCATGTAGCTCAACACCATCACTCAGATCAGGAGCTAAATTTAAAAAAGGACCTGGATATTCAGAAAGACCTGCTGTTATACTTACAAATCTGAAGGGGTGGGGGAGTGATGAAAGCATAACAAGGCACACAGATTATTGGGTCTTCCCATCAAGAGACACTGATGGTAAGACATGTTGAACTGCAGTTTATAGAGAATCACCAGACATGTCCAGTGCCTGAGTCTTAGGTTTGAGAACTATCTGAATACAGTTCTGACAAGCAATCACCTAGTTAGTAGCTATCTACAGCAAGTCTGTAAACACTCAAATGAATTCTATGACATTTTTCAGGCAGAAGTTTTCAATAGCACTGAAATCAGAATCAAATCCTGGCCAAACAATTCTACAGTTTTTCAACCAATTATATACCCACATCATTATATTCTGGTTTTGCCAGCAGGGCAGTTTATGAAGTTTTTTTGAATTTGTGAACAAAACAAGTCATTAACAAATGCAGTTTCATTTATGTAGACACAATTTTTTAATGAGATCTATTGCAATTTAAGTGATACAGTACAAATTTTGACAGAAAGGAATAAAAAACCCTTTTCAGCAGAATGTTTCCATTCAGCAGCAGGATCAAATAGAAGAGAAAATCTTAATTACTCCATTTATTCAGTCTGAAGACAACCATACTTTGGTCCAAAATGTAATTTTCACGTTGACAGTTGGAACATGGTAAAGACTATGACCGTGTGTATTTGCCCCAGATGTGCAACATAAATACAGATGCAATGAAGAGAAGGCTCATAACAAGAACTGGAACAGGACCTCTGAAAAATAAGACAGAAGAGGTATTTAAACACAATAATAGCTAAAGAGCAGATTTTAAGCAATTTTATTTAAGATTTTTATCTCTGCTTTACATATACTAGATGCCTAGGGTAGCTAACAAAAATAGTTCAAAGTTATGCAACAATACCTAATAATGAGAAGAACTAGAGGAAAATTATCCACTATCTGAAAATGTAGCTTAATTCAGAGGATTTCCTTCCCTTCAACCAGAAGGTAAACCAGCTAATTTGCTTTCTATTGACTTTATTTTTAACTTAGTAATACAAGAACTATAGACTCTCTGCCTATCAAGGAATTGTGTGTAATTTTGCCCTAGGCTTAAACTGGAAACCCCCACAACATCAAACCCAATCTAATTAAGTCTGCAAGTTTTTCTCCATTCTATCTTAATACTCACACCATGAAAACTTCATGATTTCACTATCAAGTCTTCTCCTGCTCCCCACTTCACCTGTTTGTTTGGTTACATTTTGTCTAATGAAAGGGCTCAAAAGTTTGTTTAAAACCTTGTGTGTTGGTCCCAATAAAGGATTTTGTGGATTTTTGCACTTTTATGGTCTAAGCAATCTACTTTGTTTTACTTAAGAGACTACAGTCCAAAAGCCATTTATCTTGGAGTAAACCGCAAAGAACTCAATGAGACTTACTTCTGAGCAGATATAGATAGGATTACCCTATAAAGGTCTGTGTAAAAATAAGAACAGGAAGGACAGTTCTTTGGGAAGACATAACAAAAGACAGGATAAAGGAAGAAAAGTAAAAGGAGGGATGGCTCTGAGTAATATGACCAGCAATTAGATGATTAAAAGCTTCAGATGAAAGTGTTAAGGGAAAACAATTAAAATTAAATGATTAAGCTGAGTCAGTGAAATTATCTATTTTTTCATTTCTAGCATAAAAACACTCACTATTTTAAAAATTCTGAATTGCTTTTATAAACTATGCAAACCTATGTGTTCTCACATTTTCAGCAGAAGTTAATTTATACAATCCTTGACCATCTCCATGTTTTTAGAAGAAGATATTTAAGCTGGATTTTAAAACCCACATTTCAGGGTGTACTGCCCTCACAAGGTAGCTTACAAAACTCTAGAACACGGGTCCTCAAACTATGGCCCACGAGCCAGATCCAGCCCACCATGCTGATTTATCCGGTCCGCCTCAGAGCTTTTGGACTTGCTCAGAGAAAACGATCTCTGAGCGAGTCCGAAAGCTCTGAGCCAGCGCAAGAATACTCAGTGGGGAGATGGCCATGATCGCAGTCACACTTGTGCAGGGAAGACAGGCACGATCGCAGTTGTGCGGGGGGGTGGGAGATGGCTGCAATCCTGTTGGGGTGGGAGTGGAGATGGCTGCGATCGCGCCCGCCCTCCCTGCATGAGCATGCCCACGATTGTGCCCACCTTCCCTGCATAATCATGTTGGGGGGGGGGAGATGGCCACAACTGCACCTGCCTTCCCTGCATGTTCATGGGGGGGGGGGGGGGAGATGGCCGCGATCACGCCTGCCTTCCCTGCACAAGCGCGTCCACGCCTGCTGCAGCCAACACCTCACTTGCCCAAACCTGCCACCGCCGCCTTTCAACTGGCCCCGTTGAGAAAGTTTGAGGACCCCTGCTCTAGAACATGGGGAAATAAGGTTTTCATATTTAAACCACAACATTATATTCAAAAGAAAAGGCACACCAGCAAGATTATTTTTTTCACATACGGCACAATTCAATCAAATGCAGACTGGCATAAATGTTTCTTCAAGAGATATTACTACTGGTGGTTCTGTTTTTTGTTTTAACCAAACAAGGCCATACAAATATCCCTGGGAAAGGAATATCAACTAACCAGATAGCTCCTGCTTGAGTGGCAAAACATATTACTTGATACATATTACTGCTTTAGTAAGCTCATGCAGGTGTTGGTAAAGTGGTCCTAATCTAAAGAAGGATACTATGATCAATACTACTGAAACTGGCCTAGAAGAATCAAGGAAAGAGCCGTAACTCAGTGGTAGAGATGTTTTGCATGCAGAAGATTCCAGGTTCAATTCCCAGCATCACCAAGTAGGCCTGGGGAAGAATCCTGCCTGAAACCTTGGAGAGCTGCTTCTAGTTAGTGTCATCAGTACTGGGCTAAATGGACCAATAGGCCAACCCAGTAGGAAGCAGCTTCCTATGTTTCTACAGGTTCACACTCCTGACATCTATCCTTTGTCATAAGCATCCACTCAGGTGATAAGATGGTTTCTGGCCCAAACCAATGATACTAATTATTTTCCAATATCATTTTTAGTTTCTATTTAAAAAGCAAGGATAATACGTTACTAAATGAGTCTATTATTATTTTTTTTTTACTTACACTTTGAGGCCAGGGGAATCCTCTGTGTAGAACCTCCACATCCCCCCAGTACCTGCTGAAGTTGTACGTCCTGCACTCCTTGTTCCACAGCTAGCATTTTTCCTAATAGAGAAAATCAGTACTTGAAATACACAAACCATCACCAATGAAAATAATGTAATATTTCTTGTGTTAAAAGTCAGATTTTAACAGTTTAGACAGCAATCCTATACTCCCATAAAGACCATAGGACTGCTTGAAAAAACCATTCCAAGATTGGCAACAGCCAATCCCTTGGAAGGGGGACCCAGAGATCCACCTCCCTCCTCCACAGTCAATGTGGAAAGGAGTGTGCCAATGGCCCTTCAAACTCTCTCCTCCTCCAAAAAGTCTTACTGAATGGCCTGAAAACAAAATAAGATCACTTCTGTGGCTCCTCCCACCCTGACAGTCTTAGCTCAGCAATACACAGGAAAACATAGGACACAAGGACAGGAAGTCTAAGATCTCTCCACTGCTCCTTCTGCCCACATAGGATGATTGTACATGTCATCCAAGTTCAGCTGCTTATGGCTGGGGTAGCTTGCAGGAGAAAAAATATGTAGAGCTTTAATGATAGCAGTTCCAAAGATCCAAACTGATCTTTCTCTAAGGAAGAATGATGTAACACAATTGCTTCAAGAAACACACATATGTTTACCTATTTTAGCACATTTAGCACATTTAATAAGCTAGCGATTTGTTGTTTGCATTTTTGGAATTCTATCTTATTTCAAAGATGACTGAGCATACAAAGTGACTTGTATTTTAAATATAAGAGAGACTGAATCAAATACTACACTTAATAGACAGAATACATTTCTGCATTACTCTGTCATTACACATTTTCAACTGATCTGCAATAGGACAGCATTTGAAAATAAGCACACATATTGAAAAAGGATGCATATCTACTTTGCTAGTTCTGAATAGTTTTCTCGGTCTCTGTCAGTGGAACCATTAAGGCTACTGTTTCACTAACTGTCAACAGGCGCCCTACCTCTGCCGCACAGTGGATCCTGCGGCTCGCGGGGCTACTGCTTTGCTGGGAGAGCGGCTGGAGGCACCCACATTGGTGGCGCTGGGATTCGGGCCCGGCTGAAATTTAACCAAGGGAGAAGGAATCATCAGAACAGGAATACATATGGGGACAAATGCTGCGCGTGCTTCCTGCAGAGCAGATGACCCCCCCCCCCGCCCATCCATTCTCTTACCATAGTAAATGCTCTGTCGATCTGTCACTCGAACACACTCTCTATTAGCTTCCCTGAACTTACAAAACACGTCTGAACTGCCTCACCGGCAGAAAGGGGCTTCTCTTCCCTCAGACAAGTAGGACCCAAAGGGTTGGCTACCTATCTTACAGCCTGACAGAAATTTGTTCTTTATACAGCTTTAAAAAAATAGAACGAGATCCTACCCCATTCGCTTTAACAAATCTATTGATTCGGGCTCTTTTCACCCATTTCTAATCTTTCCTACCCGTATTAGCCGAACGTGATAGGATACAGGCAATACTTTAGTCACTCAACACTTAATGCTGAGGTGGCCGTTTGAGTAATCCGCGCATGTGTATTAGTGCGGCGCCACGTGGTGCGGAAGCTTGGTAGAAAGGGCGTCGACATGGCAGCTACGGCGACGGAAACTGGAGAACGCAAGCAGCGAGGGGGTCCGTCAGTTTTCTTCCTGCACCCAGATCTTGGCATTGGCGGGGCAGAGCGGCTTGTAGTCGACGCGGCTCTGGCGCTTTGCGCACGGGGCTGCCGTGTGCAAATCTGGACGCCGCGGTACGACCCTGCGCGCTGCTTCTCGGAGACCCGCCAGCTGGACGTGCGGACGGCGGGGGGCTGGCTGCCGCGGAGCATTCTGGGAAGAGGCCACGCACTTTGTGCGGCACTGCGCATGGTGTTTCTGGCGCTGCATGTGCTGCTGCTCAGCGGAGAGGAGTTCGACGTCTTCGTGTGTGATCAGGTGTGGCGGTGGGCAGATAGGAGTTAGGCCTGGGGCTTCCAGTCTTCCCTGACGAGTTCGACTGTAATTCCAAACATGGCTGGAGGATGTAGTCTGATACATCGGGAGGGCACGACGTTGTGTAACGCAGGTCTAGAATAGGGATGATGTTGGACTACAGTTCTCACCGTACTTTTCCATTAGCCTTCTTGGCGGAAACTAATGGGAGTTGGATTCCAGCTACATCTGGAAGGCCCACTCTTCCTCTAGAACTTAGGGACTTTGGGTAAAAATAATTTCCCCTTATCAGTGTAACAGAATATTTCTGAATGCCTTCTGAAAGTTAATTTAATGAACCTTTGCATTCGAATCAAGTAAAGTACTAAATTTAATAATGATTAAGTGATGAGAGGAGATTGTGGTAGTCCCACAATCTCTTTTTTCATTGAGGTCACTGCTTGAAACACAGCAAGGGACAGGCCTGTTTTTTCAAATCTGTTTCTGGGATCGAGAAATAGCCATGAGCATTTAGGCCAAGAGGTAGCAAGTTTAGGTACACTTACCCTTAAAGCAGCCTGAAATTGCAGTAATTAAGCAGATTGAATTGATGGAACTGTTTGAGCAGAACCACTTCAGATTGCTCTCTCTCTTCAGGTAATATGTAAATGAATAAAGATGAGAATTCCATCTCCTGAATTGTTGCCTACAGCTTAGAGATATTAAGGCCTGCTTCCCCCTCCAGAAGTTATTCTTTCAAGACAAGCATCGACAAACCCTAGCATTCATGTGCCCATGGGGGAAATGAAAAATAAGGCGCAATAGCCCCTTTCTGGGCTTAATGTGGCTGCTCCTGGCTGGTTCTGAACCTCTGTTACAAACATTCTTCAATAACAAACTGAAGGAAAAAAACTAAGATAGTTATTTTACCTAAGAACTTAAGAGACTGACTGTATTACACCGGGGTCCATCTGTTTTCAGCAATCTGTTCTCACAGTGACCAGCCAGTTGTCCGTGGAATCCCACAAACATGTGTCATAGCACCCTTGTGCCCAAGTTCCCCAAGTTCCCACATCCCTTTAGTGAAACTGAAAGTTCTAGTTGTTCTGAACCAGACTTTTCTTAACTTGAAATGGAATGAATAAGCAATGCTGCAAGTAAGCAAAGGTGCTACAGTTACCTCAGCTAAAAAGAACCTATGATATATCAGCTCTTTTTGTTTCATTTATTTAGAAAATTTCTATGCCGCCCCATTCGCCAAAGCCTCGGGGCGGCTTACAAATAAATCAATTAAAATACTATAAATTGACAATATAAAACAAGTTAACAATATAAAATAAGTCGCCCTGGCCAAAGAATAAAATAAATAAATACTATTAACAGTTAAAATGATGTTTGAATAAAAAGGTCTTCACCTGGCGCCGAAAAACAAATAACCGCCAGGTGGACCTCTCTGGGGAGCGCATTCCATAGATTGGGTGCCACTACAGAAAAAGCCCTCCTCCGAGTACTTACCCTCCTAATTTCTTTCACGGAGGGTTCCTGGAGAAGGGCCTCTCCCGCTGATCTCGGGGCGGGCGGGCATATATGGATTGTGGTAAAATATGCATATTTTTCGGTATACAGTGGTACCTTGGCTCATGAACTTAATCCTTTCCATGACTCTGGTTGCGACCCAAATTGGTCATGACCCAAGTCAAATTTCCCCATAAGGTTCAGTGTAAATAAGGTTAATCCATTCTGTAACCATTTTTTATCATAAAAATTTGAAACAAAGTGACAAAGAACAACAAAGTAACAAAGAACAACAAAGATCTTAGCCATCTCCCCCCCCCCCCCCCACCCCAACCAACCCCCCCCCCCCCCCCCGCGCACGATCCGGGCCCTCCCCCCCCCCCCACCCAGCACAACCATGATTGTGCCCATGCAGGGAAGACTGGCGCAATCGTGATCATCACCTGATGTGGGATTCGTGACCTGAGGCAATTTTTTTCTGAAATTTCTGTTAGCGACCCAATTTGGTCGTGAACTGATGCATTCATGAGCCAAGGTACCACTGTATATCTTAAACAGTTTGTTCTTTTAAGGACAGTCATTTTTGTTAAATATAACCAAATATAATTATATGCTATGTCTTTATTTACAAATATTCTAATAAGATAATTGCCACATAAATCATTGAGTGTGTTGAATGCAGCATTTAACTATATTTTGTGGTAAATTTAATTCCTCCCAAAGGAAATATTTTAGTTCAGATATTTTGTAGCTATTGGAAAAATGTTTGGTATATTTATACTGAAGATAGTGTTGATGAGGATTACATTTTAGTTCTGTTTATTAGATGTGAAATAGTTTTCTGCTTGTTTCAGAGTAAAACTGAGCCAAATATGCTAAATTAATTACTTATAGCACTAGCAAATCTGGAAAATTTTTCACTTCTACTTTTTTCTGAAAACTCACATAAGTGTTCACTTGCTACACTGTTTTGTGCCACTCTCGCGTGGAAAGTTTGCTACTTGAGTGAGAGCTAGGGCAAAGCAATGCCAAACAACTTTAATTGGTCAGTTTCTGCCTGTCAGATTGCTGTTAAAAATATAATAAACAATTGGGCCTGTTCTGGTTTAATTGGGTGTTTTGCTTGGGATAGAACTAAAGATTCTAGATGAAACTGTAACAAATAAGTATGTAGCAAAAAGAATCTGTGCACATGTATTGAACAGTAAACTACCATTTTACCCAATCATATTCCTCATGATCAGCACAGACAGGTAGAGCTCTGAACCGAAGCAGTATTGTGATTTCACGCAATCTCAGTTAAGTCACCTGATGATAAGCTGCTTCCCAGTGGGCTTTGGAACCGGAAATTGCTTTGATCAATGAACACTTCTGTCACTCCACAATAAATTGGATTGTGCTTCCTTAAATTCACTGCTAGCAAAGTAATAGCAGTGAGTCATAGTAATGGATAATAGCTTGCAATATCACATTCTCGATTTACTCTGGAGAGCAAATAGCTTCTTGTTGCCTCATCAGCCTCAATCAGAATGCATAGCCCAAACCAGGTGAAGGACCCCTTGCCACTTGCACTTCATCCTTTTCTTTCTAAGTGAGGAGAGCCCTAAAATGCTTGTGTTTAAGTTCAGCTAATCACTTGCACCTCAGTGGCCCCTTCCCTCAGCTCAGCAATGAGATACAGAGGCTAGATCAAAAGTGCTCTCCACTGTTGATGCTGTTGGCAGCCAAGGCAAGCCTCTGGGAGTTCCCCCTCTTGCAGAATGTTCTCCAAAATAGCTTTCAGTCTGCTTATACACACACCAGGCAGGAGTAGCTATTGTGGGCCTGAACAGCAAAGAAAGAAAATAATTAAGTAGCGACTCAAGGAGCCAAAACAGAAAGAAGAGTATTGATTTACCCCTGAGGTGAGGGTACTGCTGTTCTGTTTAAAAAAACCAAAAACAGAACAATTCAGGGTTTCTGTGGTTTGAGTGAAGGAACAATAATACTGGGAAAACCCTCCATCTTGCTAATTAAGTTATCTGGCTTAGCTGTAAAAAATGCATGGATGAAGGATAGCAGTTCTGCACTAAGCAGCCATTGTGGTTTGACCACAATAGTACTCCTTTGGGCTGAATGTAACAGCCAAGTGTAACTCAGGCAGGTGTGCTCAATATCACAAGTTTCTTTGTTATTTGCCCATTTCTTTTTTTCTCCAGGTGTCTGCATGCATTCCAATCCTTCGTCTGGCCCGGAGATGTAAGAAGGTTTTGTTTTATTGTCATTTCCCTGATCAGCTTCTGACTAAGAGGGAGTCATTTATTAAACGAATCTACAGAGCTCCACTGGACTGGTTGGAAGAATATACAACTGGCATGGCTGACTGTATTCTGGTCAACAGTTGTTTCACAGCACGTGTTTTCAAAGAAACCTTCAAATCCTTATCTCATATAAATCCAGATGTCTTGTACCCTTCTTTGAACATCAATAGATTTGATATCACAGCACCTGCAGATGTGGTTAGCATAGTCCCCAACAGAAAGAGGTTTTTTCTTTCCATCAATAGGTATGAAAGGAAGAAAAATCTAGTATTGGCTCTGGAAGCTTTTCATGCCCTTCGTGGCAGACTTGATGCGCAGGAGTGGAGGGATGTTCACTTGGTCTTGGCTGGTGGTTATGATGAAGCAGTTAAAGAGAATGTGGAATATTATGAAGAACTGAAAGCTAGGGCTACCACGTTGAATATTGATGAAGAGGTTACATTCCTGAGATCTTTCTCTGATGAAGAAAAAATAGCTCTTCTTAGTAATTGTGTGTGTGTTCTTTATACACCAAGTGATGAACACTTTGGCATAGTTCCTTTAGAGGCTATGTACATGAGATGTCCAGTCATTGCAGTCAATTCAGGGGGACCATTGGAATCAGTTGTAAACAATCAGACAGGTTTCTTGTGTGATCCTCTTCCAACCCAGTTTTCAGAAACCATGGAGAAATTCCTGAGAGACCCTACTTTAAAGAAGAGAATGGGAGCTGCTGGTAGGACCAGAGTTTTGGAAAACTTTTCACCAGACGCATTTACTGAAAAGCTGTATCAATATGTTAATAGCTTAATACAATAAAAATGACTCTGTGATATAATTTACAGACTTGAAAAGTTGTGTTTGATATACATCAAACATGTAATGGATTAAACTAGGCACCACCAGACTTTAGAGGCCTAAAAATTGGGCTGATTGGGACTGGTTTTTTCCTAGCTGCACAGATTCTGCAGAGTTGTGGAATATTTCTTTACTTTCCAAAATTTTATGCAAATATATCTCTTTCACAGACCAATGGTGAAAATGTGCATTTTGGGAAGATTTGGATATTTTTGAAGTGCTCATTTGCACATACGTGTAAGTTTGGGAAACAAGATCTGATGCCATCAGTGCGCAGGTCACAGAATAAAAGGTACCTGACAGTCCACAAGATTCAGACAGAATTGATTTAACAAAATTCATACAGCCCTACCTATGAGCCCATAAGCATTTTTTAAATGGGGCATGGGTACAATTATAAAGAGCTGCTGCAGGTGATTGTAGGGAGCATCTCCCATCTTCCTCTCTCTCACACACACACATACACACACATGAGGAAGAAAACAGAGATGGAAAACATAAACAAGTGGGAAAAAGGGAGCAGAGAAAGCAGGCAGGCAAAAAGAGGGAGGGAAAATACAGAGAAGGAAGGAAAGACAAAGGAGTCACACATAACATGCAATTAAATGGAGCAGCTTTGCTATTCATTTTCACAGGGTGATAGGAACTTCCCTGCTGCAAATCTATAGCTAGAGGAGAAGCAACCCTCCTGCCAAGTACTCTATTGTTTTTACATGCAGGGGGGAGCCCCTGTCGATTCAAGTGAATGGACAGAACACTCTACCTGCATAGGAAGAAAAGTTGCCTTGCCAGAAAGAATAAGAAAACCAGTAGGGAACCTCACCCCCCCCAACCAAGGACATTTTCAATCTTACATGGTTCATTGGAGAACCTTATAGAAATACTATAAGGTATTTTTTACTTCTCCCTCTCCAGCCATTTTTCAGTAGGACTGCCTTTTCTCCTTATATAAGAAAATAGAAGTCACTCCATGATTTTGCAAAGAGGAAAAATAGCCAGGTAGGTGCCTCAGCATAGTTTGGAGGATTTAGTGGTATAGAGACCACATTTGGAGAGGCCCAGGACTAAACTGCTGTTAATAATCCAAACTTATGTATGTTACTCTACTGTTGAGATTTTATTTTTTCTTTATGCTTGGGTACCATCCTGCCATATACTGAGATACTTAAATATGAGCTACTCTTAGGATACTTTCTGATATTTTGTCTTGTGCTATTTGCTGCAAAATAATAAGATAATAATCAGACTTCTTTAACTTGCTCTTACATCTAGGGGCAGGCTTGAAACTGCTGAAGAATGTTTTTTTCACTGGCCTTCAGTGATGTCATATGCAACAATTTAATAATAAAAATACAATTCATGATACAATAAATAATAATAAATAAATACAATCAGTACTAACAGAATACCATCAAAGTAATCGAATAATAAGCAAGAATAAGCATAGTAACTTGCCACAATCTAACAACAGCATTGTGTACAGCATTTGTAGTTGCAATGGACACGTTAATTTGACATGTTTCTCAACAGCATATTTGAATTCTGAGAAAATGTAATTTCCTGAAAAGTGAATGGAATGGTAATTGTACGGATCACCTCACATACCACTGGGGCATAAGAGATCTAGATCCCAGCAGCTACTGAACATATACTGCACTGTATACTGCCCATGCATTAAACTTCTTGCAGAGACAGAGCTCCTTTTTCTACGTCATACAGATAGGTAGAAGGAAAATAGTCTCTACCTTGATGTTTACAATGCAAAAAACAGGACTCTACAAGAAGAGGGAGTAGGAAAGCAGCAAACGCAATCATCCCTTCTTAATGTTACAGGGTTTTTATAATGGCCAGCTGTAGTAGCTTTGTTGGTTTTCTTATGACAGGCTGGACTGAATGTATTCAAAGGGAGGGAAATTCAAAGAGCCTGGTCTCTTAGCTAAGTCAGTGGGGTGGTTCCGCTTCCTGTCTTTCCCACTGCTGCAGCCTGATAGAATAGTTGCTGGGCAGCAGCTGGGCAAAGCTCCATGAAGCTGGCTTTTCAGGTAGGTTGATGCTGGCACAGCTTTCCTTTTCTCAAACAAAGTGCATCATACACAGAAAATAACTCCAAATATCTTAAGAGATCCACTGTCACATGTTACATGGAAAGCAAGAGACAATTTGATTTTGGGGATGGGTGAAAAAATAGTTGATTTTTGAGCAAAATTGATTTGGTGTACACACAGAACTGAACACAATCTGCTGTCTGACATCTGTTCTTTCCTGAATGTACAATGTGATTCATGCAACGGAAAATGTATTTGAAATTGCCCTTGAAAACAACGTACAATTGAAGCAGGCTTTAGTCAGTGGATGAAAAATGTACAATCCCTGTGTACATTTGGAGAAATACAAAATAACCTAGAAACAATTTTTTGTGTAAGGAAATTAAAATAAAGCCCTTAATCTGATATCAACATGGATCAGATTGTGATTCTATGGAAATGCAGTCATCCATTGATATGAGGGACAATTCATTAATTTGTGACCTTTACTATAATAATTCATGCTTAGTCAATAGTTTACCAGATACTATTTTATTGTGTTGTAAATGCCCCCTAGTCCTCCCTGACCATGGTTATGGCAATTCCTTTTTTCCTGGATTGGTGGTTTTCATTGCTTTGTTCTGGCCTACAAGAGAATATATATGGAGGCTTAAAAGTGTGCATGTGGAAGGGTCCTACGTGCTGGCTCACTCCATACATCTCTGGGGTGATGTGCAGAGAATTTTACTTGCAGTCGGGGTGGAGCTAGCCAGGATGGACCTCGGACACTAAAAAATCTACTCCTGAGCATCGGCGAAAACATGATTAAAATATACTCAAATCAAGATTAAGAAACACTGGAAAATTGCTTGAAATATAAGTCAATTCCTTTGTTTATCTCCTGGGAGGATTTGAAACACAGACATGGAGCAAGAGTTGTTTTTGTGAGTTGGAACTGCTGGGCCTAGCCCAGAGTAAGTGATATTTGGGCTGATTATGGCCTGAGAAACAGTGTTTGTTATAAATACCTCAGCTGCTTGTTATAATAACTCAAAAAGCAGATGGAAGAGATGGGGAGATAAGGCAGAGGTTGTTTTTCTGAAATGTTTGTTTTTTCTTTTTTCTTTTTGAATAAGTTTTATTCTTAATATACCTAACCAAAATGAAGAAAAGAATCTAAAAAGCATCAATCATCGAAAACATCAGACCTACTGGGTCAGCCCCCCACATTTTTTCTTTTTATGTTAAACTATACACATATTTAAGTCTATGCATAGTCCCGTTTCTCTAGCCAATGATAAAAAGAGTCCCAGATTTGATAGAAGTCTGTATCTTCTTTCTCCCTCGGAGGCAAAGTCAATCTGTCCATTTCCGCACAGTCCAAGATCTTTTTTAGAATCATCAGTAGGTGGCTCTTCACTCTTTCAGTGTTGGGCAAACGCAATCCTCGCTGCAGTAGTTACACGTAGAGTCAAATACATTGCTTGTTTACTAAGATCATCAGGTACAATGCCTAATAAGAAAACTTCAGGTTTAAATGTTAGAGGTTTTTGTAACATTTCCTCAAGCCATTTGTGTATTTTAATCCAATACTTTTTTGCCTTATCACAGGTCCACCACATACGATAAAAAGTATCCGATTTATGTTTACATTTCCAACATCCATTTGACATATTTGGAAACATCTTAGCTAACCTATTTGGTGACAAATACCATCTATAAAACATTTTATACAGGTTTTTTTTGTATGAGGTTGCTAATGTTACTTTAATATTTCTTTCCCACAGCTTTTGCCATTTCTCTAACTCAATATTAAATACAAAGTTTTGTGCCCACGTTATTATAGTTTCCTTAACCTGTTCATCTTCCATTCTCCTATCCAATAGGAAATTATACAATCTTTTAATCATTTTCTTATCTGATTTAAGAATCACGTGATCAAATGCTGTTGACTCCTTATAAAAGCCCCACATTCTATAGTCTTTAGCATATCTTGATTGTTCATATCTTTGAGCCTTGTGCCACCAAGAAATAATAATTCCTTGTTCTTGCATTTCTTGATTCAATTTTAATCCTCCATCATTATCCAAAATATCATCATATCTCATGATTGTATCAAAATTCAATGCATTTGGATATACGAGAGCTTCCATAGGTGAAAGCCATCTTGGTAATTCAGTATACAGTTTTGTCTTTAACTTTTCCCACACCGGCATTAATGATTTTCTAATATAATGATTTAAGAAACAACCATGTACCTTACACTTTCCATACCACATTTAAGCATGCCAACCCATTTGCAAATCATGCCCTTCAAGATACAAGATTCTCTTATTTTTTAAAGTTATCCATTCTTTTAGCCATGTTAAAATAGAACATCCAGTCGGGAAGACCAAAACCCCCATTCTCTTTAGCCTCCTGAAGCATTTTTAATTTAATCCTTGGTGTTTTTTTTCCATATAAATCTCGAGATTTGGGTATTTAAATCGTCAAAAAATTTTTTATCAATTTTTATAGGAATCATTTGGAATAAAAACAAAAGCTTTGGTAATATATTCATTTTAACTAGAGCTATTCTTCCCAACAAAGATAATTGCAAATAAGCCCATTTTTCCAAGTCACTCTTAATTTCCTTAAATAGTTTATCATAATTATCTTCTTTCAATGTAGCACACTTAGCTGTAGAAAAATTCCCAAATATTTAACCTTTATAACAATCTGAAGAGCTATTTGTTCCACCAGAGTTTTTCTCTGCTCCAGTGTAAGATTTTTTACTAACAATTTTGTCTTGTCTCTGTTTATTTTCATTCCAGTAACATCGCCATATTCTTCAATCCTTTGTAGAAGTTTAGACATTGTTACTAAGGGTTCTTCAATTATAAAAACTAAGTCGTCTGCGAATGCTTGCGATTTGTAGCTTTCATCTCTAATTCTAGTGCATTTAATATCCATATCA